TTTTATATTTCAAAATGTTTTGTTTCAAGCGTAAGCTAATTGCAAATGTACCAAATAACAAATATAGCCAAAGAGTCTTCCAGTACTTAACCCAAAGTGTTAAACAACAGCATGGTGACTGTGCAGTAAAGGTGAATTATATGTTACTCTATCCTTTATCATTCTTTCATAGTGCCAGCATATGTCACTGTGTGGGTGTGTCAATCCAGATAAAACTCTTTGTTTTAATAAAACAGATCTAAACAATGGCAATGTGAATGATCTTGCTTTTGCTTTGAAAAAAAGGCAAATTAAAAAAATGCCTGTCCTCACCAGGGGGCATTTTTATTACAGTGCGCTTTTCAGGCTGTTATACTGCAGACCTGAGTTGTAAGAAAAACAGTGCACTTGGACTGGATAACAGATTGCTGTGCTCTTCCTACCTTGCCCTCTTGCATGGGGATTGCTGTGTGTTGCTGATAGTCTTCACCAATGGAAGGGATAGTAAGGCCAGTTTAATATTAGTAGCGCTATCTCAGCTTTGCAAAGATCCCTTAGGCTGTGCTTAGGCTTCTTCTATAATGATTGCTTCAATTACCCAGAAAGTTATTTTAACTCCACTAACCATTTTGCCATTTTTTAGGTTGCAGTATATGCCACATCCAGTAAAATATAATTTAGGAAAAGGTACATGGAATTTTATTTGAACTCTGCATCATGTTAATAAAAAGAAATGTAAGCTAGATGTCTTGTCATTAAAAGACAACTGATAGTGTTAGATGTTTTATAATATAACATTTCTGTAGCAAATAATTTGCTTGTCAAAGCTTATAGTCAGCTACCTAATAATTCCTTCTATCAAGCTATATCATTTTTAAGCATTTTACATGTAGGAATAGATGTTCTACACTTGGCTTGGAACAAACCAGCTACAATCACAGTTAAAAATGCATATACATGAACTGTTATTTTTAGCTTTAGATATCTTAGTAATTCTGATCAGTCAGTCTCCTGATCCACAAAATAAATTCACATACCCCCATCACACTGTATAACAGGACATTGGCACCACTGCTCAGTATTGCAGCCTTGCAGCTCTTCACTGAATGAAAAATACAAATTACCCCACTGGTGACATATTCATGTGTTTTTTCTTTTTCCAAACTGCCTGAATATTTCTCCCCTAAAGGTGTTCAGCTAGAGGGCAGGAGCACACGAGCATGATTAGCTGGTCATGTAAATGCTGCATAGGATGGGTGATGTATATATACTGCATGTGAATGCCGCAGCTAGGAAACGGCAATGTACAGTACATACATGCAGGGGTTGTAGGAGAGGGTCATGCATATACATGTATGACCCTCTCCTACCTTATTTTCCTTTGACTAGCTCTCTTTTGCTTTCACCTCATGTCTTGATATTCTCTATGCAATACACTCATGTTCCTCACGCTCAATCTTGCTTTCAGCTAATTACATATCAACAATATACTGATAGAAATAACTTGTGTGCTGCCACCTACACCACATAAATTGTTAAATCTGAGCTGCTGCTGACACCTATCTGCGTGACCCACCACAGGGAACAAAATTATATTATGTATGGTGTAGCGCAAACTCTTAAATAAATAATATCTATGTGAAATTCCTAAATAGCATAAATAAGTGATTGCAGTGCTGCAAATATCTGCTGTTAAATAGTTAAAGTAGCAATACAAAAAAATAGAATAAACTAGAAGTGAATATACAGTAGGTATATAAGTAAATGAAATAGGCTAACGGTAACTACTACTGTGCAAATTCCATAAAGAACTTGCTCGTGTGATTTATTGGTCTCCAGATCTCAAGTGAAAAGACCTAAACACTAAACGTAAACACACTTTATATCTAATATAATATATACTTAAACCACTGTCCCAGTGATGAAAGAATTAATCAATTTCATAAATAAGTGTTTACCCTATAAAGTGAATAAATCCAAAGTCCATGTACACAAAAAAAAGTCTGTGATAAATAGTTCTCTATTGAGAATAGGTCCCCAATGTAATGTAGAAGGAATCAAACGTGCTGCTCACGTCAAATATTGACCCATATTTCCATATCGGTCAAACACGCTTTGTTTGTGAAATTCCAATAGGCAAGTACTGCTCTTTCTCCGTCTCCTAGTATGGATCACTCTAGTGGGTAACCTCTGATCATCAATAATAATCAGCTCAAAAAAAGGTAGAAAGGACCACCCATAGTGTCGTAAATAAAACCACAATTTATTAGATACAAGAATACCACTCACATAATAAAAAACATTTCATAAACTTGTATGTGTTCCAACAGTACAACTCTCACCAACTCTTCTTGTCTCGGTAGTGACCGGAAGTGACATCACCTGGCTCCGTCCGATCCCCGAAGAAGTCACGTGATCTGTATTGCAAGTGTACAATCCAAACGCACACGTTCCTGCATTAAAAATGGCTGTGTGTAAAAGTGGGTGCTGCAGCGACCGTCGGCTGGAACTGAACAGAAGCAGCAAGGGAAAATGTCACCAGCACACCGAGGATCACCAATATGGGTCCAAAGGTTTTAATGAACGATCACATAGTTACAGCAAGGCAACATTTCGGAGTCTTGCAGGACCCCTTCATCAGGCATGTGACCATCACGTGACTGATGAAGGGGTCCTGCTAGACTCCGAAACGTTGCCTTGCTGTAGCTATGTGATCGTTCATTAAAACTTTTGGACCCATATTGGTGTTCCTCGGTGTGCTGGTGACATTTTCCCTTGGTGATCTGTATTGCAATGCATCTGATGGAGCTGGGTGACATCACTTTCTGCCACAGCTTTTTTTTTTTTTTTTTTTCCTGTGATATATCTCCTGTTAGAAGGTGGCTATGTTCGATCACTATGGTCTCACGGTATGTTAACTTTCTCCCTCTTCCTCCCAAGATAGACTGTGGGATTTGTAGTGTGCATAGAGTAGTACACATGGCTACAGCTGACTTGCATTGCTCATTCCAAACAAATGTAACTTGCTTAGTGGCACTTTAGGCTGGCCATAAATAGTTAGATTTTCATTCAAACTTTCAAACTGAAATCTTGAAAAAATGTTCAACAGAATATTATTTCTCTCCATGATTGTGTCAACTAATTTAATTTGAAAGCCCTTACATTTTCATTCAATCCTGCTATTTGAATGGAATACAGGTTGTATTAAACATGTTTCATTACAAAAGGTTTGATTTTTCCCAAAAGAAAACTACTTTCACAGATAGAATTTTGTTCATCCAAGAAAAATGTTCAGTCCTGCTCCTTCAAGTTTTCTCATCACTACATCTGAAATTAAATGTTAATTTGACAATACTAGTCATTTAAAAATCAAACACACAGAACATTTTAAATTTCATAGGAAATTCTACTTTAATATGTGGCTGGCTGGTTCACTATGTTTTACTCCATAATGTATACCACTCTTGCCAGTAGTTATCCTAGCTAACCGCTCTGTCTGCAGTAGCTCTCCAGTCTTTTTCAATATCCAAAATCTCAGGGAGTCAATGTAAATGTCTTGCTCTTCCACCACTACATCAAGCAAGTGCTGAACATGGTGGTGTAGTAGTCAGTATAAGGAAAGCAAACAAGAGTTGTTTTAGAAATCATAGTGGCCATTGCAATAGTTTATATTATGATATAATCTAAAACTCTAATACAATTTCTTTAAACTGAAGCCTACTACTAACTCTGCTAAAAAAAAAAAAAAAAAATCTTACCACACAACCTGTCAATGGATCTATGACAACCATTCTGAAGTCTGCTCCTGCACGTCTGATGTTAGATCTTCTTGATCTGAGCTGTTACATGGGGTACAGGGTCAGTGTCTTGAGCAACCTGCAATCCTTAATGAGTCAGTACCTAATTTGTGTTATCTTTATGTGCACACAGATTTTCTATGTTAACATTGCCTCAATAGCCCCTCTAGTGAGGCATTCTACCATACCCAAGCCACATTGAAGTTCTGTAGGCTGCTATGTCCATTGTTATGCCACTGCTTTCAGCTCTACATCTCTACCTCCCATTCCTTATTCTCTCTACCTCAAATACAACCATTTGCTAATTGCATTTATTTGGTGCTGTCAGGAAGGGCATGCAAATTGATGAACTGGCTCCTCAAACTCCTGTGCACAGGCTAATACTTGTTCCTTTTCAGGCTCGCACAATTCGGGTACTTGCTAATACTAATACTAATGCACATGCCCATTGTCATGCGCTCACATGCACTTGTGACAGATGTTGGCACCAATTGGGCTATTTAGACTTGGCTAGTTCTCAGAATAAGTGCTACTTTGTCTTCAGCCTCCTGTGTATCCTGTATCCTGATTTCAGTTGCTGACCTGGATTGTCCTGACTACCCCCTGAACTCTGCCTGAACTGACATTGGCTTGTCCTCTGACCTGCTCTTCTATCTGTTCCTTTCGCTTCTGCGACCCCTATTTGACTTCCAGACCCAGCTTGTACCTAGACCATGCTTCTACCTGTGCCCTGTACCTGATCCATCTTTGCCTGTGCATGACCCAGCCTGTCTTACTTTGCTACTGCCTGCTGCTACTGGTATCTGCCTACCCCTCTGCTGTGCCTGCCAATCTGCAGTCTGCTACCAGTCACTGTCTCACCTGCCTGCTGTCCCCAGTCTTCTTCAGTCCGCTTCCCAGCTGCCTGCCAGTCTGCCTGCCTTACTGAGGACCCCTGATGACTATATCTACCCAGTGTGGACACCTGCTCTGCTGCTAGCAAGACTTACAGACACTCATGCCAAGGGGTGGACTGACTACTCATGGGGCCCCCGGGCAATAGGGGATCATGGGGCCCCTGTGTCCCTGCCCAAACTCAAAAAAGTCTATGAAAAAGGTACCAGGGGCATCTCATGGGGCCCCCTACTGACCCCAGGCCCTCGGGGAGTGTCCGAGTTTCCAAATGGTCAGTCCGCCCCTGCTCGTGCCACTCTGCACTCCTGTGCCTCCTGTTTGCATTACCAGGGGCCCCGAGTCAGAGGTACAAGGCAGGCCTTCCTCATCATATCAGGCTCTGCTACCAGGTAAAAAAAAATGGCCACTGCCCCATTCTATAACTGGCCTTCACAGCAAGGAGCACATGGAAGGGCGACGTATGTCAAACAATAAAAGAGAAAACAATTCCCAGCTCAACTTACCAACCTGCTTGACAAACCAGAATAAAGTTTAGAATTTTCCTATAAATAGAAATGATATGGCTTTCATTTACCATAAGTGATAGTAGTGCTAAGGAAGCTCTTTATTATTTGAATGTAGTATGTCTGTCAATGAGAGATAACATGCCCACCTTAACAGGAACTATCTTGCCATATCTAGGGTCATTAGCATGCATATTTATTTGCCTGTTGATGAACAAATAAGCTGCCACTCCACTGGTCAGTAAAAATGCCATAGAGCAAATTGGGAAACAGTTGTGTGTGACAGACAACCATCTATGTGGACCATGGAAACTGGGCTCTATTGGAGCTAGTATATATGGCCAGCTGGACATCCTAGCCCCCTCCAGCAGTGCACAGCCTCCTCACCACGTTTCTGCCCCTGCCACTTCTTCAGGGGGGTGCGCCTCCTCCCTGAAAATTGCCGCCCAAGGCAAATGCCTTGTTTGTCTTGCGGTAAATACTGCCTATAGGAGAATATTTCTTGGACCTCCTCACATCAGCCTACTATGGATTAGCTCCACCCTCCTGACCCCTCCAGGACAACCCATAATTAGCACATAAATCTAAACTAATCCCCCCCCTCAGGTGTTCTTTTTTCGTCCTCGCTCCAGATACTCATTGAAGAGACAGAAGTTGTGAAAGTGTAATACCTGCCCAGGGTCAGTCTCTCCTGGGTGGGAGACCCTCTGTTTAGGTGCAAGGCTCCTACAGTCAGGTCCATAAATATTGGGACATCAACACAATTCTAACTTTTTTGGCTCTATACATCACCACAGTGGATTTGAAATGAAACTAATAAGATGTGCTTTAACTGCAGACTGTCAGCTTTAATTTGAGGGTATTTACATCCAAATCAGGTGAACGGTGTAGGAATTACAACAGTTTGCATATGTGCCTCCCACTTGTTAAGGGCTCAAAAGTAATGGGACAGAATAATAATCATAAATCAAACTTTCATTTTTTAATACTTGGTTGCAAATCCTTTGCAGTCAATTACAGCCTGAAGTCTGGAACGCATAGACATCACCAGACGCTGGGTTTCATCCCTGGTGATGCTCTGCCAGGCCTCTACTGCAACTGTCTTCAGTTCCTGCTTGTTCTTGGGGCATTTTCCCTTCAGTTTTGTCTTCAGCAAGTGAAATGCATGCTCAATCGGATTCAGGTCAGGTGATTGACTTGGCCATTGCATAACATTCCACTTCTTTCCCTTAAAAAACTCTTTGGTTGCTTTTGCAGTATGCTTTGGGTCATTGTCCATCTGCACTGTGAAGGGGCGTCCAATGAGTTGTGAAGCATTTGGCTGAATAGGAGCAGATAATATTCCCGAAACACTTCAGAATTCATCCTGCTGCTTTTGTCAGCAGTCACATCATCAATAAATACAAGAGAACCAGTCCCATTGGCAGCCATACATGCCCACGCCATGACACTACCACCACCATGCTTCACTGACGAGGTGGTATGCTTAGGATCATGAGCAGTTCCTTTCCTTCTCATTACATTACATTACATTGAGTTTATATAGCGCCAAAGGGTTTGCTCAGCGCTGTACAATAGAGGGGGGGACAATACATGAAACATTACAGCAGCTACGAACAGCACACGAGGGGTAAGAGGGCCCTACTCTTTCGAGCTTACAATCTGGGAGGGAGGGGGTAGTGGTACAGGAGGAAGTGGCTGTGGGGGGATGGAGTGGTAGGAGGAATGAAGGAGAGCAGCAGTTAGGTGAGGGTGGGGTAGGCTTCCCTGAAGAGGTGGGTTTTCAGGGAGCGCCTGAAGGTGAGGAGGGAAGGTGACAGTCTGATGGATTGGGGTAGTGAGTTCCAGAGGATGGGGGATTACCTGGAGAAGTCTTGCAGACGTGCGTGTGAGGAGGAGACCAGGGAGCAAGATAGAAGGAGGTCCTGTGAAGAGCGAAGGGTACGGGTAGGGTGGTACTTGGGAATCAGGTCGGTGAGGTAGTTAGGGGCAGTGTTGTGAATGGCTTTGTAGGTCAGAGTGAGTAGTTTGAATTTGATGCGTTGGGCGATAGGGAGCCAGTGGAGGGAGAGGCAGAGGGGGGTGGCAGAGGTGGAGCGGCTGGTGAGGTGGATGAGTCTGGCAGCTGAGTTCAGGATGGTCTGAAGCGGGGAGAGTTTGCACTGGGGTAGGCCGGTGAGGAGGGAGTTGCAGTAGTCAAGGCGTGAGATAATCAGGGAGTGCACAAGTAGTTTAGCGGTGTCTGGGGTAAGGAAGGTGCGTATTTTGGCGATATTGCGGAGGTGGAGCCTGCATGTGTTTGTCAGTGATTTGACATGAGGTTGGAAGGAGAGGTTAGAGTCCAGAATGACCCCAAGGACTTTGGCTTGCGGGGCGGGATTGATGGTGGTGATGTTAGTAGTGATGGATAGGATGGGGGGGGGGGGCGCGGGCAGGAGGGAAGACGAGAAGCTCGGTTTTGGAGAGGTTGAGTTTGAGGAAATGGAGCGACATCCAGTCAGAGATGTCGTTTAGGAGGTGAGTGATGCGGGCGGAGAAAGTGGAGGTGAGGTGAGGGGTGGAGAGGTAAATTTGAGTGTCATCAGCATAGAGATGGTAGTTGAAGCCGTGGGAGTGTATGAGTTTGCCAAGGGAGGAGGTGTAGATGGAGAAGAGAAGGGGTCCAAGGACAGAGCCCTGGGGGACCCCAACAGAGAGGGGGAGGGAAGGGGAGGTGGCACCATTGTAGGAAACGCTGAAGGAGCGTCGGGATAGGTAAGAGGAGAACCAGGAGAGAGCGGTGTCTCTGACGCCAAGGGAGAATAGCTTATTAAGGAGGAGGGGGTGGTCAACTGTGTCGAAGGCCGCGGAGAGGTCCAGGAGGAGGAGGACAGAGTAGTCGCCTTTGGCTTTGGCGGTAAGTAGGTCGTTGGTGATTTTGAGGAGGGCGGTTTCGGTGGAGTGTAGGGGACGGAAGCCGGACTGTAGTGGATCAAGGAGGTTGTTGTCAGTTAGGTGGGCGCTTAGGCGGTTGTAGACTAAGCGCTCCAGGAGTTTGGAAGTGAGTGGCAGCAGGGAGATGGGTCTGAGGTTGTTTGGGTCAGAGGGGTCCAGGGAGGGCTTTTTGAGTATGGGGGTGATGTGCGCATGCTTTAGGGGGGAGGGGAATACGCCGGTAGAGAGGGAGAGATTGAAGATGTGGGTGAGGGAGCAGATGAGGGAAGAGGGGGGTGACTGGAGGAGTCGAGAGGGGATAGGGTCTAGGGGGCAGGTAGTGAGGCGGGCTTCAGAGAAGACCCTGGTGACTTCCTCAGTGGTAGCGGGGCTGAAGGAGTGCAGAGCTGGTGGGGTTACGGTAAGCGGGGTCTTGGGTGTGGAGGGGGGGCAGTGCGGTTGCGAGATCAGAGGAGGGAAGAGATGAGGGGGAGATAGGGGGGGGGGAGGCTAGGTGGGGAGGTAGATTGCGAGTTGACTATGTCCTGACGGATAGCATCAATTTTATTGTGGAAATGAGTGGCAATCTCGTGGGCGGTGAGTGAGGTACTGAGTGGAGGAGGGGGGGGAGAGAGCAGGGAGTTGAAGGTGGAGAAGAGTCGGCGAGGGCAGGAGGAGAGGGTGTTAATCAGGTTTACGAAGTAAGCCTGCTTGGTGGCGTGGAGGGAGGAGGTGTAGGTGAGGAAGGCAGATTTGTAGAGGGAGAATGAACGGGGGGACCTGGTTTTGCGCCATAGTCTCTCCAGCGCACGACTGCGACGTTTGAGGCATTTAGTGTGGTCGTTCTGCCATGGTTGGAGCGGTCTGGGTTTGATGTAGCGTGTGGTTAGGGGTGCCAGAGAGTCTAGGGTAGCTGATAGTGAGTCGTTGTACGTGTTAGTGGCTAGGTCAGGACAAGACAGTGGAAGGATTCTCCATACTCTTCTCTTCCCATCACTCTGGTACAATTTTGATCTTGGTCTCATCTGTCCATAGGATGTTGTTCCAGAACTGTGAAGGCTTTTTTAGATGTTGTTCGGCAAACTCTAATCTGGCCTTCCTGTTTTTGAGGCTCACCAATGGTTTATATCTTGTGGTGAACCCTCTGTATTCACTCTGGTGAAGTCTTCTCTTGATTGTTGACTTTGACACACATACACCTACCTCCTGGAGAGTGTTCTTGATCTGGCCAACTGTTGTGAAGGGTGTTTTCTTCACCAGGGAAAGAATTCTTCGGTCATCCACCACAGTTGTTTTCTGTGGTCTTCCGGGTCTTTTGGTGTTGCTGAGCTCACCGGTGCGTTCCTTCTTTTTAAGTTTTAAGTTTTATGTTCCAAACAGTTGTTTTGGCCACGCCTAATGTTTTTGCTATCTCTCTGATGGATTTGTTTTATTTTTTCAGCCTAATGATGGCTTGCTTCACTGATAGTGACAGCTCTTTGAATCTCATCTTGAGAGTTGACAGCAACAGATTCCAAATGCAAATAGTACACTTGAAATGAACTCTGGACCTTTTATCTGCTCATTGTAATTGGGATAATGAGGGAATAACACACACCTGGCCATAGAACAGCTGAGAAGCCAATTGTCCCATTACTTTTGGTCCCTAAACAAGTGGGAGGCACATATGCAAACTGTTGTAATTCCTACACCGTTCACCTGATTTGGATGTAAATAACCTCAAATTAAAGCTGACAGTCTGCAGTTAAAGCACATCTTGTTCGTTTCATTTCAAATCCATTGTGGTGGTGTATAGAGCCAAAAATGTTAGAATTGTGTCGATGTCCCAATATTTATGGACCTGACTGTATATGGTGGGTGCCCTGAGTGCTCAGGCAAGGTGGCTGTTATGAGCATAAACTGCTCCAGATTGTGTCTGGCAGCTGTTGAGGTCCCCACCTCCCTTCCTTTCCTTCCTAGT